TGGCTTTACATTTGAAATATATGAAAAAAGAAATTTCTGTTGATAAATCTTCCAAAATAGTATAAAAATATGTAATAAAGAAAAAATACAACAACTTTCTCACGTATCTCAAACGACCACAGAGAATCTTTACCATAAAATTTTATCTGCAAGCGCGGAATAGAAATATCGACACGAGGATTAATTTTTGCTTGAATTTTGTTTCGTGTTTTCACAAATAATAAAAAAAAAAATTTTGAATTTTTTTTTTCGCAGATGCGTTTTGATGCACTCACATCACAATAAAGCAAATAAACAAATCTACTGTTATTGCGGAGAAGCAAAAATTATAGGATCTCATAAGCATTCAATGATTAGCACCAGCCCTCCTATTTTAATTTAGTTTTACACATCACAATAGTTATAGTCATTATATGAAGCATGTGTTCACAAAAATACTTTTTTTTAAAACAAAAATTTCATAAAATTATGCGTTATTATACGAAAAAAGCACTGTTTCACAAAAAGCAAAGTAACTGTTGTAATCATTGTGAGGAAAATTAATGTGTAAAGTTATCAAAAAAGCCCCTAATTTTTTTAAATTTTCTTTCGCAATAATATACGTTTTGATTCAATGTTACTACAAAGAAAAATCAAAGTAACAATTATAATCATTATATGAAGAAGATTAATATCTGACGTTCAAAAAAAGATATTTTTTTAAAATTTTTGTTTTGCAAAATGATGCATTTTGATGCACTCACAAAAAAAAATCAAAGTAACTGTTATAATCATTACACGAAGTAGATTAATGTCTAACGTTTTCAAAAAATCTTTTTATGATTTTTTTCCCTGCAAAATTTTAATGCATTCTCATCTGAACATAAGAATGGAAGCAACTGTTTTAGTAACTGTATGAAGTAGATTAAAGTCTAGCTTTCACAAAAATAAATAATTAAATAATAAATAATTAAATTAAAAAAAAAAAACTTTTGTGAATTTTCCTGCCAAAATTATGCATTGTGATGACCTCATACTGCAAAGAAAAAACAATTATAATCTTTTAAGCACCAATTATAATCTTTTTAAGAAGCTGATTAATATCTGACGCTAACAAGAAAAATATTTAGTGAATCTTTTTTCGAAAAAGTATGCATTCTGATGCACTTGCACAAAAAAATTGACAGTCGTAATAATTATATGAAGCTGATTAATATTTAACATTTAGGAAAATTTAATACAAATTAGTCACATGAAACAAAATAAAACAGGAAACTAGAAGAATATATGTTATGGAGACAAAAATCGAACATTTTAACAAAGCAAAAATAACGCAAATTTACGTAAATTTAAGCACAACGGAAGATGTAAATCATTTAATATCTTTAAAACCTGTTTTAATGATAAAAGTATCAAAGCCAAGCGGCAAATATAAATTTTTTAACAAGACAAAATTATTCTTTAGAAAATTTTATTATTTTTAAAATCCCGTTTTTCTTCTTTCGTTTAAAAAAAAAAGCATTTCCTGGTTTTAGTTTGAAATGTGTTCTAACTAAACTGCATGTACAAGTTAATTTCCGTTTGAAGTACTCTTAACTCAGAAAAAATCTTCAATAGAATATGAGAAATAGAAGGCTAAACAGTATGTCACTAACTCAACAATTTAGTTGGACTAGAGAGATAATTTAATTTGATAATTGTCTAAGAGAAAAACTGTTACATAGAATTTTTAATCATCGAAAAAAATGTTGAAAGACGTTACGATGTTTCAGATTTTCTTGATGCGCAGTTCCAGTATGACTCATGAAATTGAAGGGAAATCTTAATATAAAATAAATCAACACCTGCTACACAAAGCTAACATTTCTTCAAGCTCTTTACACAAAGTTTTCCATTCTGTTTACTTCATATCACACATTGGCGTCTTGTTTTCGACTTTTCCAGTATATATTATCATATTAAACGCAAAATGCATTCAAAATAACAGCTATTCAATTATTTTCGAATTCCAAGCTTTCGGAAAATAACAATTTTTGTTTGAAAAACTGCTGGATCTTTCGAATCTCATTACAGTATTGGTGTCAGAGCTATATTGGTGTGATGAATAATACTTCACGTGTTGTTCTAGAAAATGTGCAGTTGCACGATATTATAGCGTTACTCAAAGGTGACCTCAATCTTAAATTAATATGCACATTTTGATACTTCACTACTGGTCGGAAAGAATCATTTGCATATTATATTCAGAAGAGCAATTATTCAGTTTTAATTTTTATTTTTAAGTTACAAAATATTTAATTTAAAGGGAAATAAATGGTTTTCGAAGTTTTAAGCTTTAAAATTTTGAGCAAATAATGCATGACAACATATTCACAGTCTCCATATTCTCATTCATATTCTCTGCTACATTACAACCAATACAGGTTTAAATACATTTTTGGACCATCGTTCACTTTTAAATAAANCAATTTCGGGACCCGGTGCAATTGTCCCTGTCTCTCCCCTCTTCCTACTTGAGTGCGCCTTTTATTGCATCATATTAAAACTTCATGCACAAAATTCTTAAATTGTCAGACAAAATGGAATATCTGCAACTTTCTCAATGAAACTCTAGCATTTGTAAATTCCCCATATTGTTAACATGTGCAACCTTTTTTTTCTCCACTAGCGAGGTGAAACGACGTGGTTTGACTTTTTCTAGAAAAAAACATCCTATATAAAAATAAGTAGTGCATTTATGACTTTTTGAAAATGATGTATAATGAATATTTTGGTTCCATATGACAGTTTTTAGGTTGCTGCAGTTTAGGTCCTACAGGCCATCCAAACTTAGTTACCTGTTCTTACCCTACCGTATATAAATAATAATTGTTGTCTTACGTAAAAAGTTTTCATTATAATTTTTAATGTAATGTGTGTCTTTCCAAAGAACAAAAATTTTATTTTCATGTTTTATAGAATTTTTAAAGAACTTTAAATACGAAAATGCAGTTTTTATACAGATATGTTATATAAGGAAAACAACAAAAAACATCATTTTTATAATATTTGGGGTTAAAACGGCTATTTGGAATTAAGACGAGTGTTTTGTTGCAAAAGCAAAAAATGTTAACTAACTTAAAAAAATTGTATTTATTTAAAAAAAAACAATTATAGATATCAGTTTATAACCATTTACGTAAATATTAGATAATAACCAAACTCGAAAAAAAGTTATTTTATCTAAAATTAATTATTCAATCATTTAAAGAGTGATAAAGAGTATTTCAATCAGAGCCACCAAAATTTAAAGTAAAGACAAATATCTAGGTTAAACAATTATATATGTGTTATTTTAAGAAGGAAAATATTAGTATTTTATAAATTCAAATTTCATATACAGGTTAAAAATTGAATTTTAAATCAAGCTAACAGTTTTAGAAATGAAAAATTTCAAACTATACATGAAACATTTTGTGAGATGCTTTTTTTTTATAACATATATTTCAGTCACATTAGGGCACATTCAAAATGTAAGTAAAAAAAGATATATTAAGAAAAATTATTTCTATGCAATTAATATCTCTGCATATTTCTAATTTAATTATATGCGCTTTGAGATGCAGTTGAAAAGATATTCAGAGGGAGAATAGAAATTCGAGCAGGTGTGTTTGTTCCAGTAGGTGGAATTTGCGTCACTGTTTACGTAAATGACAGATCATGTGATCGAAAGATCTCAACNGAAAGCTCTTGATTATAAACTATGATAAACAAAAAAGCAAATTGGTTTATTCAAAAAAGAATGATTTCTTATTCATACCAATCGCCACATTAAAAACCTCATACAAAACTATGATCAAACTAAGACATGAATGATACAACTACAACAGAAATTTAAGTACTCCCTCGCTTAAACATTTTTATACCATTCGTAACAGTAATAATTTATCAACACATGAAAATGTATTAATACGAAAGACGCCATAGTTAATTAGGAATAAATATAAAAATAAGAAATAAGCATAAGTTATAAACTTACCAAACTCAAACTTTTATAACATCACACTCGCACCTCTGGCTCAATGTAAACAAACTTCTTCAATCGGTAGAGTGGTGGGTGGGGAGAGAACAGGAAACGGAAGCATGACTGAGTCAATTGTGGCAACAAAAAAGTTCTGTTCAGGTGGATTTTTCTATGATTAAAGACTTGTTAATTTTCAATAAATGAATTAAACTGTACGCTTAAAGCATTGTGAACGAAAACGGTTCATACAGCTTTCATTAGTAAAGATATAAGATATGTACGTTAAAACGAAATTAATGAACACAAATTTTAAAAATTCGTAAAATTAAACTTGCTTTGAATGCTACACGTAACATTTACATCAATTTATGAAAAATAGAGCTGATAACTACTGTAAATATGTGATCTTTTTCTTAATTAGGTATATTATATAAATAGAAACTTAAAATTCGAATCCAGGAGAGTGAATTAGACATTCAACTTTGAAAAATTTCCAATTATTCAAATTTGAATAATGTGAGAGTTTTTGATTGATAAAAAATTGATCTGACTGTTATATTGAATTCCTTAGATACCAGTAGATGTTTGACAAAAGCTGTAAAGTAAAACATTTAAAGTAGAAGTCAAACATTACAATTTCTTTCAATCTTAAATTATTATTTTGAATTTTTCATGAAGGAAAGAAAAAATAAGTCAAAAAACCTTTAAAATATATACCTTGGAAAAAATTGTTTAATTTATAATCAATTCTCTTGCCAATGAATCTTCTTACAATAAAATAGACTTTTTTTTAATTTCATTTTAATCAATTATAAGCGCAATCACTTAAAGTAAAAGCAAAAAAAAATTTTTTTTGGATTGAGTGCTTAAATTTCTTTTAACATTATGAGATAGGTGAAATTAAGTACAAACGTTTATTCTACTAGATTTTTATTCTAACATAATACAACTCAATATATAAATAATAAAAAAATAATGCTTAATATATTTAAAACCTACAACTAACTTTTCTTGATAGAATCTTACACACTAAATCAGCAGGTGGTTCAGGCCCTGGAGGATCTGGTCCCGGTGGTGCTGGCCCTGGAGGATATGGACCCGGAGGTGCAGGCCCAGGAGGATATGGACCCGGCGGTTATGGACCAGGAGGATCAGGACCCGGTGGTGCTTCAGCAGCAGCAGCTGCAGCCGCAGCCGGTGGTTCAGGCCCAGGAGGATCAGGTCCCGGTGGTTATGGACCTGGAGGATCAGGACCAGGAGCCGCTTCAGCAGCTGCAGCAGCTTCTGCAGCAGGTGGAGGAGGAGGAGGCCAAGGTGGTTATGAAGAAATAGTTGAATACAGCTCTCTCCCAGGAGGATATGGACCTGGAAGTTCGGGCCCAGGAGGGTATGGACCTGCAAGTTCTGGCCCAGGAGGTTATGGACCTGGTGGATCAGGACCCGGTGGTGCTTCAGCAGCAGCTGCAGCAGCAGCAGCTGGTGGTTCAGGTCCCGGAGGTGCTGGCCCTGGAGGATATGGACCCGGTGGTGCAGGCCCAGGAGGATATGGTCCCGGTGGTTATGGACCAGGAGGATCAGGAGCAGCTTCAGCAGCTGCAGCAGCTTCTGCAGCAGGTGGTGGTGGAGGAGGCCAAGGTGGTTATGAAGAAATAGTTGAATACAGCTCCGGCCCAGGAGGATATGGACCTGGAAGTTCTGGCCCAGGAGGGTATGGACCTGCAAGCTCTGGCCCAGGAGGTTATGGTCCAGGTGGATCAGGACCCTGTGGTGCTTCAGCAGCAGCTGCAGCAGCAGCTGGTGGTTCAGGTCCCGGAGGTTCTTGCCCTGGAGGATATGGTCCCGGTGGTGCAGGCCCAGGAGGATATGGACCCGGTGGCTATGGACCAGGAGGATCAGGACCCGGAGGATATGGATCCGGAGAATCAGGACCCGGTGGTGCTTCAGCAGCAGCAGCAGCTGGTGGTTCAGGCCCAGGAGGATCAGGTCCCGGAGGATATGGACCCGGAGGCTCTGGCCCAGGAGGATATGGTCCCGGTGGGGCAGGACCAGGAGGATATGGACCCGGTGGTTATGGACCAGGAGGTTCAGGACCAGGAGCAGCCGCAGCAGCTTCTGCAGCAGGTGGTGGTGGAGGAGGCCAAGGTGGATATGAAGAAATAGTTGAATACAGCTCTGGCCCAGGAGGATATGGACCTGGAAGTTCTGGCCCAGGAGGGTATGGACCTGCAAGTTCTGGTCCCGGAGGATATGGACCTGGAGGATCAGGACCCGGTGGTGCTTCAGCAGCAGCTGCAGCAGCAGCAGCTGGTGGTTCAGGTCCCGGAGGTGCTGGCCCTGGAGGATATGGACCCGGTGGTGCAGGCCCAGGAGGATATGGACCCGGTGGTTATGGACCAGGAGGATCAGGACCCGGAGGATATGGACCTGGAGAATCAGGACCCGGTGGTGCTGCAGCAGCAGCTGCTGCAGCAGCATCTGGTGGTTCAGGCCCAGGAGGATCAGGTCCCGGAGGATATGGACCTGGAGGATCAGGACCCGGTGGTGCTTCAGCAGCAGCTGCAGCAGCAGCTGGTGGTTCAGGTCCCGGAGGAGCTGGCCCTGGAGGATATGGACCCGGAGGCTCTAGCCCAGGAGGATATGGTCCCGGTGGGGCAGGACCAGGAGGATATGGACCCGGTGGTTATGGACCAGGAGGTTCAGGACCAGGAGCAGCCGCAGCAGCTTCTGCAGCAGGTGGTGGTGGAAGAGGCCAAGGTGGATATGATGAAATAGTTGAATACAGCTCTGGCCCAGGAGGATATGGACCCGGAGGTGCTGGCCCTGGAGGATATGAACCCGGTGGTGCAGGCCCAGGAGGATATGGACCCGGTGGTTATGGACCAGGAGGATCAGGACCCGGTGGTGCTTCAGCAGCAGCAGCTGCAGCTGCAGCCGGTGGTTCAGGTCCAGGAGGATCAGGTCCCGGAGGATATGGACCAGGAGGATCAGGACCCGGTGGTGCTTCAGCAGCAGCTGCAGCAGCAGCTGGTGGCTCAGGCCCTGGAGGATCAGGTCCCGGAGGTGCTGGCCCTGGAGGATATGGACCAGGTGGTGCAGGCCCTGGAGGATATGGACCCGGAGGTTATGGACCAGAAGGATCAGGACCAGGTGGTTATGGACCAGGAGGATCAGGACCCGGTGGAGCATCTGCAGCAGCAGCTACAGCTGCAGCTGGTGGTTCAGGCCCAGGAGGATCAGGTCCCGGAGGATATGGACCTGGAGGATCAGGACCCGGAGGATCTTCAGCAGCAGCTGCAGCAGCAGCAGCTGCAGCAGCAGCAGCTGGTGGTTCAGGCCCCGGAGGTGCTGGCCCTGAAGGATATGGACCCGGTGGCGCTGGCCCAGGAGGATATGGACCCGGTGGTGCAGGTCCAGGTGGATATGGGCCCGGTGGTTGTGGACCAGGAGGATCAGGACCAGGAGCAGCTTCAGCAGCCGCAGCAGCTTCTGCAGCAGGTGGTGGTGGAGGAGGCCAAGGTGGTTATGAAGAAATAGTTGAATACAGCTCTGGCCCAGGAGGATATGGACCTGGAAGTTCCGGCCCAGGAGGGTATGGACCTGAAAGTTCTGGCCCTGGAGGTTATGGACCTGGTGGATCAGGACCAGGAGGATCAGGACCAGGTGGTGCTTCAGCAGCAGCAGCTGCAGCTGGTGGTTCAGGCCCAGGAGGATCAGGTCCCGGAGGTTATGGACCTCGAGGATCCGGTCCCGGCCGTGCTGGCCCAGGAGGATATGGACCAGGAGGATCTGCTCCCGGTGCATCAGCAGCAGCGTCAGCAGCGGCAGCTATTTCTTCTCCTGCCTCTACTTCCAGAATTTCTTCCGTTGCATCTAGGTTAGCTTCTGGAGGACCAGTTAATGTTTCTAGACTATCTAGCACATTAGGAAGCGTTGTTTCTCAAGTGCAATCATCCAATCCTGGTGCTTCTCAATGCGAAGTCCTTCTTCAAGCTCTTCTTGAATTGGTATCTGCTTTGTTGCATGTTCTCGGATCTGCTAATATTGGAAATGTTAACTATGGTGCTTCAGGTCAAACATCTTCAATGGTTTCACAAGCTGTAAACCAACTTTATGGTTGAAATTCTAAAGCAATATATATTATAAAAAATGTTATTTTAAAACTTTGAAATAAAATTTTGCATTTGAAATTGTCTCCTATTTGTGTTTTTATGCACAAATCAAATGTAAGTTTTGAAATTATGAATATATGCTAGCTGAAAGTCCGTTCTTCGAATGGGGTGAATTAAAAAATAAGTGAAGAATCAATAAATCAGAGTAAAGAAACACTAACGAAATCATGCTCGTAACTAAAAAGCAAATACTGCTACAATAGACTTGATGAAAGGACCAGGTAAGGGACATTTGCAATAAATTAAGGAATCACTGGTTTTGCTTTCCTTTAAATCCCCACACAACTGATCACATAAATGTTTAGTATTTTATCAGGATTTTTTTTGTTTCAAATTATTCAAAAAGGTTTTAATTTTTCAGATAGTTAGGTTTTATATAAATTTAGGAACAATGAAGCGAAGAATTACTAGACCCTTCCTCTACTAAATAAGTACTAACCCTCCTGGCGGCGGACCCGTAATAACTCGGAATCATTTCTACACGCAAAGCGGCAAGCCCGGAATAACTCGGATTGCCTATCTGCCTCTTTAGCGGCGCGCCCGAGTTTTTCGCTGGTATTTTTTTTCCTTCCCCTACGACCGCCGACTGGGTACTAATTGAGAGGTGGGGATAGCTGTCATCATAAATCACTATAACAGAGGAGTTGTGAGTCTATTTTAGAGTTCATAGTACATTAGTAGTTAAAAGGTACTGATTAGAAAAGGTTTTGGTGAAGTGGAAAAATTAATTTAAAGTTTTATTTTATTTTATTTATTTATTTCAATTTTTTTTTCTTTTGCTAATACCAAATCAAACATTTCGTTGCTTTCATTGCTGTTTAATTTTTATTATTATTATTTTTTTTTAAATTGAAGTTCTTCATGGTAAAATTAGAAAAATGGGGGGGAGAATATATTATAGCAAATTACTTTTAAATTTTTGAATATTTGTTTATTTTGAATAAATTTTTGAATATCTCTATTAATAATGTTCTGCAGTTTCGTTATAAGTACTGTAAATTCGATATTTTGATAATATTCATTAACTGAATTTTATTTTGTGAACTTAATTGAAGGAGATTTTAACTTAGTTTAGATTTTGACTTATTTTATTTCTTTCCAACTGCCAGAAAGTACACCTTACTTATTTTTCAAGTTCACTAATTTTGAAATGTTAAAATTTTACTTTGCAAACATTATTTTAATCAGAGTCATTATTTTCTTCACATTATTTTAAAAATTTTCAAGCAAAGAAGGAAATGCAAAAAAAAAAATAATAATAATAAATAAATAAATAAAGAGCGAATAAATAAAATTCGTTTTTTTTTTCTTGATGTTTTAAGCATTTCCTTTTAATTATCGCGTCTGAAATTTATACAGAAATAAAATCTTGAAAAAACAGAATACGAAAAACAGTTATTGAATTTTTTTAAGAAATAACTTGCATATTCAAAACATTTTTTGCAAAATCAAAAATCTTATAACTACAAAGAAACCAACGAGATTAAATATCTTTTCAGGTTTAATTTTAATTAAAAGTTTTAAGTTCCAAACAATCTAATATTTATTTAGTAAGGCGTAAAAAAAAATTTTTCAAAAATTAATATTTGAGAAATTAAAGAAAATTATTTTGGCTAGATAATTTAGCGAAATGAATATATGCTAAGATAACAATTCGAACGGTTCAAAAAATGTTTAATTTTTTTACTTATGAATTAACTGTCGTAGAAATTTAATAACAAAGCATTTGTTTCAAAAATATCAAATATGATGGTCCTGCAATCTTGGTTGTGGTTATTTAATTTTTATGCACTACTTTATAATTTTGGACAATAAATTAAATGTTTGGTTTTAATTTGTTTACTGTTAGTTAAGTTGTGTTCTATCCCTCCTTTTTCAAATTACATATATAAATACGTTTCTCATTGCAAATTATTATGCAATAATTTTTCTCCAGAAATGTTTTCTTGTAAGAGGACCTGCAGAGAAGAGAGAAATTTAAAGACTAGGTTTAAAAACAGAATGTCAAGGATTCAGAGAGTGATTTATCTTTTTTCCAGAAATGTACAAAGCTTGGAATTCCACACAATTAGCAACTACTGGGCTGCGATACAGGAAATGACCCCTTGCAGAGAAGGAAATATCACTCTTTCAAAACGCCAATCCTCCATTTCCCCATGCATTGAATACACCTATTGTAATCTTAGAAAGAATTCTTCTTCAAGAAATTTCTTGCAACATTTGCTTTCATTCTTTGAAAACTAACACTTAGTACACAGTGTTGACCACAGGATATCTTCAGTTTCCTTCAGTTCGAATGTATTATTGCTTCAAAAGAAAGCGCAAAATGAAATATGCCACCTCTTTTTTTTTCTCTAATAAGTTTACTAACAAAATAACTAAAATGGTCATGTCATCTAGTAAAAGTAGATTTTATATAAAACTTTGAAGTAGTGTAAATAAANTGCAATTTTGAACACGAATTCTTCAAGATGAGCCTTGACAATAAATCTAAAAGTATATTATTCAAAAAGGTATATTAGCAGATTCAACTGATAAGATTTATTTCTTATTGCTTTTCTATTACATAGAAAGATGATCTTTAAAGGACATTTTATTTTCAAATTTTATTTTACTGTGAAGGTATTTTATTTTTATGCACTACTTTATAATTTTGGACAATAAATTAAATGTTTGGTTTTAATTTGTTTACTGTTAGTGAAGTTCTGTTCTATCCCTCCTTTTTCAAATTACATATATAAATACGTTTCTCATTGCAAACTATTATGCAATAATTTTTCTCCAGAAATGTTTTCTTGTAAGAGGACAGGCGGAGAAGAGAGAAATTTAAAGACTAGGTTTAAAAACTGAGTGTCAAGGATTCAGAGAGTGATTTATCTTTTTTCCAGAAATGTACAAAGCTTGGAATTCCACACAATTAGCAACTACTGGGCTGCGATACAGGAAATGACCCCTTGCAGAGAAGGAAATATCACTCTTTCAAAACGCCAATCTTCCATTTCCCCATGCATTGAATATACCTATTGTAATCTTAGAAAGAATTCTTCTTCAAGAAATTTCTTACAACATTTGCTTTCATTCTTTGAAAACTAACACTTAGTACACAGTGTTGACCCCAGGATATCTTCAGTTTCCTTCAGTTCAAATGTATTATTGCTTCAAAATAAAGCGCAAAATGAAATATACCACCTCTTTTTTTTTCTCTAATAAGTTTACTAATAAAATAACTAAAATGGTCATGTCATCTAGTAAAAGTAGATTTAATATAAAACTTTGAAGTAGTGTAAATAAAGCGAGTATATACTCTCTTTCAAGACTCCCAAAAGCTGAATATAGACCATTCTCAAAGTCTAAAATAGATTTTGTAACAATGAATTTTTTCACTCTATATTTAATTGGTAAAAAGATTGTCTAGTGCAAATATTTTATGTTGCAAAAACTTTTAAATCAATTATCTCTTATTGGTGTTGGATTTTCATGAAGTCGTGATTTCTTAAATAATGTTTGTTTTTTCCTTTTTCTAGATCACAAATTCCTAACTCAATTCAATATAATTTGTCCACAACTTCTCAATCTGATTTCTATTCTTATTTCAGAATAATTATTTTACTAACTTATAAACTTTAAATTTTAATAGGGGTATCAGAATCAATGCAGTTCGTGTATATTCGTGTTTACTGAGTATATAATTATATTGAACTAATCAGTCATCATAAAATTGTTCTATTTAATGAAAACAGTTTTTGATTTTAGAATTGAAGGATTTTAAAGCTGTTTTTATAAAGCTCTTACCAGAAATTTATGAATGGTAGCTTGAACAAAAGATTTTCTTTAATGCGTTATTTTATATCAAATTAATTACCACTTTAAAATCATTTCTATTTTAAAAAAATTCTCAAGAGCTAATAAGAAATTTTTTGGTTATCTTAACTTTAGACTTTTAATACTAATTTGGATTTCGTTATTGCTGAATATATTTCAATTTATCAGATTTGAAAAATATTTTGTGAAAGAAAATTCGTGCAAGGAGTTAGAAGTAAGACTACGATCATGCTCTTACTCTAGTGAGCTTCCAAAAAATTTGAATATGTAAAAAAAGGAAATAGAAATTTTACACAAAAATATAGAGAATTTAAACATAAACATAGGAGTGCTCATTTAATTTTTTTTTAACATTATGAGTAGAAAATTGTTTTATTCTGAGAATACTTTCTTATTAAAAAGTGATTTTTTAAAAAACTAAAATATATGATTTTAAATTAAATCACAAAATATGAAGTTTGATTGAAATATTCAGTTTTCCTGATTGAAATTCTAAACCTGGTCATATTATTAGACTGAAAATTAGGTTAAAATTCTGTTCAGTAGGGTTACATATTTTTAAACTTGGTGTGTTCAAAGGATCTATGACTATGCAAGAAATTGGAAAAAAAAATTTTGATCGCAGTTTGGATCAATCTGTAATTTTTTTCTATGACGTTTGCTGATATGGATAGAGACTGGATATATAAATAATTATGAAGAAATTACAAAAAATGGAATCATTTCAAGGATATAAATTCATTAATGTAGACTATGATCTTTGTATTTTTTTTCATTTACGTTTGTTTATTATAGGTCCGTTTTATTTATTACTAAAACAAATTTTTTTTCCTTCTTTTTTTGTTCCTTCTTATTTTGTTCAAATGTCTCTTTCCTTATTTCATTTTTCCTGAAATAAATTTCAATTTGAAATGTGATAAAGTTTAGCAAGGAAAATGTTTATATAACTTTATAAAATTCATCCAATTGGTCTTTAAACTTTCTAATTTATTCTTTACAAGAATTTGAAAGCTGGCTTAAAAAAATAAAATGTTATTTGAGAACTTACTAATTTGAAGACTGCCAAATAAGAAAATGTTCCAAAATGCCAAAATTCTGATTTAAGTATCGAATAAGAAAACTATTTTCCTTTATTAGCAATAAACTATTACCAATTTACAAAACCATGAAAATTCTACGGAAATGAGATTAAAAAGAACACAATAAAGTTTGCATATTTTAATAAACCATTTATATTGCTTTCGAAATGAGATTGCAAAAATAATTATTAAAAATTTAAAAACTTATATCAAAACTTTACCAACAATATTTATTTAAAACATATTATTTCATATATTCAAACATATCAGTTTATAAGCATCAGTTCAAAAATATCAGCTTAGTTAAAACAAGTTGATTCATAACAATTTGATTTAAAACATATCATATCAGTTATTTTATGCTTTTTCCTCAGAAATAGCGAGAGAAAAGCAGCTTTTGCCATATAAGTGGAATATAATGGCATTTAATATATATATATATACACTCCGAGCAGCGAAAAAATACTTTAAATGAGCAAATTTTTTTCCTTTTAGGTAGGTTTCTATGCGATAATAAAAAATCTTAAATAGTTGCCCGGGGGAAATTTAAATATTTTTTCTATACAATATATCTTGGTTCTCAAAATTTCTACTACTTTAAGCAAGCGGGTTATTCAAATATCAGTTATGCAATTAAGTGGGGCAACTGTATAAGGAAAATGTCAACTAAAATAAATATATAAATAAAAATAAACAATTCTGTTTAATTGATGGCGTATGCGTTATAAAACCAAAATTTTTGGAAAAATTATCGATAAAGATCAAGCAGCAGAGAAATAGGAAGAAAAAATTTAACTATATTTTCTCTCTAAGAAAAGCTACAAATGTGCTTCTTCAGTTGCTACTTCAAATACTACTTCAGTTTACTAATCCTTAATGGAAGAATAAAATTTTATAGGGCAAAAATTTACAAAGATTTATTCAGACTTCAATAGTTAAGTATTTTATCAAAGGCTATCAAGCCATGTCATTTCTTTAAAAATAATGATAGTTGACTGGAACTTTTCAAAATGTAATGAGGCAAATAATAATGGTAATTACTCAGTTAGTGTAAAATTTCCAGTTTCTGCATGGAATTACTATTTATAAACTATAATGAAATTTATTTGATACATAAGGAGTTAAAAAGCATTAATTTTATAAAAATTAGAGAGCTAAACTAACACGAATCAAAATTACAAGTGACTACATTTTGAATATTGTTGTTAAAATTATATTTAAAATTATATACTTTCCAAATCAGAGAATATATAACTTGAAAAGAAGATAATGATCATGGTTTAGATTAAATAAAAGAAAAAGATTGCCACTCTGCAAAATTAAATATTATAGAAAATTAAAGGATCTTAAAAGTAGTTATAAACAATATGCATAGTGATGATAAGCACTAAATCAATGTAAATTTAATAATAAAAAAGAAAGAAACTTAAACTACAAATTATTTTCAACTTTATTTTTTTTTTTATTTCAAGATTCATATTATAATTTTTTATTAATTAATTTTTTATTTTTGTCTTAAACTGGAATAAAATTTGCCTAACAATCTTCATCAATGAGAAGGGCGAGGACCATACAGTCATGTCTTTTAAATATAAATTGTAAAAATATTAAAACATTCTAAAAACAAACATTGAATTGCAGGAGGATTCAAAAAAGATAGTTGAAAAGTGAACTAGAAAACGAAATTCATCCATCAAACTGTCATTTCCTTGGCTGACCCTCCCATCCAAAAGCTGACCACATAGAGCGTAAATAATTCCCTTAACAGCAAACGGAAGAAAAGGGGGGAGGCATTCCTTTTGTCTGACCGTTGCCCATTTCAGGGGGAACTCCTTTAAATATGTTTGCCCATCTAAGAGTAAAACTATTTCAAGTAAGCGCCACCAAGAGGGTTAAAATACCAATTTTATGACAAAAAATACACGAGAAACGAAATTTCTATGTTTCCATACATTGTTATCAACAAAACCTGATATTTATATTCTACATATATGAATTTGGAGCACAGTTGAACATTCTTAAATGTGCTGAATTCTATACTATCTTTTTATATTTTAGACTTCATATTTTTGAAGTCATTTTGTATCAAAAATTCTGAAAAATGGTAAAAATAATTCTGAAATAACTAATAATTCAGAAATAATAAAGCGTAAGAAATTATATATACATTTTTAAAAGATTCGTGGTTTTTACCGAATAATAATAAACAGTGATTTTAAATAGTTTTTTGCAAATTTTTTTAGTTGTAAATCATCAATATAATACCAAACGATTATAAACAATTGAAAAAAAATTGCAATTTATGAAACATTTATATTATCAGCAGTTAAAACAATATTCAATGACAATTTTTACGAAATCAATTAAAATAATTTTAAAGTTTAAAAAAAAAATTGTGAAATAAATTGTAATTGTAGAATACAAAATTTCTATAAATTTTATGAATATCTGCATAAAAATTTTAACAGTTAATAGTCATTCATATGCATAATTCAGTTTAATTTCTGGACAAAAGAAATGATATAGCACTGAAAATAAATTTTTAAGAGAATAGAATGGCTGGGAAATTTTTCGAAACACGTAGCAATTGAAAAGTGTTCAAATTTCGCTTTAATTTAAATAATTGATCGTTAGTTAAAGTGTACCTGGCTATTGCTGTATCGTATATTTTAAAACAATATAATGATGAATTCCATGAAAATGCAAATATTCCATTTGTAAGAGAAAGAAAAATTCGGTTCGCGGATCATTAACAATTTCAAAAATATAACTGGTAATTGAATTTAGAAACATTGAATAGTATCAACTATTATTGTTAAATGATGATTCGCTTCTGATATTTTATCGATTTTCACACCCGCTGTTGAAAGCCTTTTCTGAATTGTGTGCCAAGTCCATATTTGTTCATTTTGAGATATCGATAGGTGCAAAATTTAATTCATCTAGTTTAGTTAGCGGTATGCCCTATTGCCGTAAAAGTATCTGGAGTTTTTAAAAATATCATGAAATGATTTTCATAAACAAAGAAAGTGAGGGTTTTTAATAATTGAAGTAAACCCAACGTTACACTTAAATATTCAATAAAAATTTAGGAAAGGATTATATTTATTCTTTATGTATTTAACATATTATTTAAAGAAAAATTAACTTCATCATAAATTATAAAAGTATTATATAAAGTATTAAGTGACCAAAACATTTGACTTTTCACTTAAATGTGTTTAAATCAAATTTAAACCAAATTAAAAGTTAAAAAAAGAGAAAATGTTCAGAGTGAATGCAATTATTTTCCCTATTTAAATATATGGAAGAAATATTTTTCAATCTTAAAGCAGGTTTTTATTAATGAAAACTTAAATTAGGAAAAAAAAAAGCATATGATATTCATCCCCAAACAGAACAAAATTTCACCAAATGTTTAACTTTATACTGTAAAAATACACTCTACACTGTAAAAAATTCCGGATCAAAGTACGGTATAAAATACCGGTACTTAGCTTCCAACAGCCGTAATATTAATTTTTCCGCAAAGTTCATTTTTACGGATAAATATTGCATCGTAATTTTTACATTAATATTGATATAATTAGAGTGAGTGAGTGATTTTACGGTAATTATTTCTGTAAAAATTACGGTTTCTGAGACATGTTTTGGTAAAAATGGATTTTATGGTAAAAAGTACAGGCACCCTGAGTGTCGATGTTTTTTTTCTGCGATTTGATCTGAAATTTCTTAGAGCACACTTAATGTAAATTTTTTCAACATAATTGACAGTATTTAATATGATATACATAAATTCTTATGATATACAAAATCTGGTGAATGTCTGTTAATACTCTTGTAAGGATTATTGTTTGAAGTCAAGATAATTATTGTTTTGACAAATTACAATAATTTACAAGACTTGCTAATGATAAAAGAAAAAGGGAAGGAGACATTATTTTGTATACATCACAGTAACCCTTATTTAGTATTTCATTCTGGATACATTTTTCTACGGTTTTTAGCCGAGAAACATTTAATTTCAATTTGTCAATTGGTGGAAGTCTAGCAGATAAAGGTGAACTATGCAGTTTTGGCAAGTCTTCGTTATTTAACCTATTTAAAAAAGAGCTTGTACACAGTTGTACATCAGTGAAAAGAATATCTTTCAGATGAAGGTTGTCCGTTATTATCCGGCAGTCAATAGGTTTGAAATACGCGCCATTCGAAATAAGCAACTTTATAGACTCAGTGCACTTGTCACCCTTGAAAATCGCTTTTTCCTGAATCAAATAATTTAAAGGTGTGTTACCATTAATGTCCATGACATTTAAGTCTTTCTGGAAATTTAAAACAAATTTCAAAAACTCAAATTCGCAATCATTCTCGATTGCTAAGTGTACAGCAGACTTCTTTTCCTTATCATCAATATCAGTAAATGTAGAAATTTTTCCTAGAATTTTAATATAATCTTGATTATGATTTTCCTCATCATGTTCACAATCAAAATTCATGAAATCATTGAGACAGTAAAAGAGAATTGTCCTACCATCGTTGTCTTTGATATCAGATCTAGCTCCAGCTTCCAAAAGAAGTAGTATAATTTCTGTGTTTTGATTCTCGCAAGCTATGTGCAACGGAGTATAGCCATTAGTGTCGCATAGGTCTAAATTAGGTTTTGCTTTTAACATTTTTTTAATTGCAGTTAAATTTTCGTCTTCAACAGCAAAGTGTAAAGGAGTCTTTCCATACTTGTTTTGAATATCGGGTTTAGCACCTGCATCTACAAGCATTTCAACGATGTGGTGTACTTTTTCCCCACTCGCTTCATAGACAGCGTAATGTAATGGCGTCTGTCCATCAGAATTAGCATCGTTGATAAGTCCATCTTTTTGAATTAAGAAATCTAATATTTTTTGATGAGCACATTTATTTTGATAATTTAGCTCATAAAAATCATCTTCATCATGGAAAACGTGTCGGTAAATGTTTCTAAGTGGGCGATATAAAGCGGCTAAACATAGAGGTGAAACACCAACATTAGTTTGGGTTCTAATATTCGCTCCTTTGTTGATTAAGTATTCAACTAGATCAAAATGAAGATTGCTAACAGCATAGTGAAGAAGTGTCCAATCATCATCATTTGTATCATCGATATAAACTCCGTTTTCAAGCAAATATTCAATAATAGCGTTTTTACCGTCTTTTGCAGCAATATGGATTGGCTTCTCTCCTTTTGAATTTTTGATATTAATATTTGCACCTTTTTCAATAAGATATTTTACAATCTCAAGTTGGTTCTTTTCTGCAGCGATATGTAATGGTGTATTTCCACCTGGCTCACATGAATTAGGATCTATTCCAAATTCAACAAATGCTTTAACAGCATTTATGTGACCTTGAAATACTGAAACATGCAGAGGTTTAGCCACTCTGCCGAAATTCTCATCACATAAAGCACCTTTGTTTAAAAGGATATTAACAATTTCTACGGAACCATTATAGGCAGCATAATGCATTGGTGTCCAACCTTTTGTATTTCGCTCATTTAAATCAAGTTCTTTGTTTAGAAAATATTCTACAATGTTTTTACGGCCAAATTTTGCCGCTAAATGCAGAACATTATTACCTTCAATAGTCTTTGCACGCAAATTTGCACTGTTTTTAATTAAAAACTCAACCATTTCTAGCTGCCCTGCCTTCACACATGAATGAAGAACAGTCCAGTTTCGTTCCGTACGTTCATCAACGTCTATCCCCTTCAAAAGGAAAAACTCTACAGCTTTTATCTGGCCACTTTGTGCTGCTGAATGAATAGCCTTTTGTCCATCCCTAGATGACGCGTGAATGTCAGCATTTTTATCCAAAAGAAACTTAATAATGTCTACAAAACCTTGTGATGCAGCATAGTGCAATGCAGTCAAACCAGATTTAGCATTTTTTTCATTTGTGCTAACTCCTTTACTTATAAAAAATTCTATCACTTGCTTTCGGTTATTTTGTGCTGCCGCATGGAAAGCTATAAGGCCATCTTTACAGTGATAACTCATGCTGGCACCCTTATCCAATAAAAATTCGATCATTTTTACGTGACCTTCCATTGCAGCAAAGTGTAAAGGAGTCCAGTTATCTTCATCTGTGTCATCAACTCGTAGACCTTGCTGAAGAAAAATCTCTGCGGCATCAACATGACCTTTTTCAGCAGCATAATGCAAACATGACATCCCAGTATTTGATCTAGCATAAATGTTTGCCTTTTTTGCAATTAGGTAATTAATAATATCTAATTGTCTCCTTCCTGCAGCATAGTGCAAAGGCGTCCAGGCGTGTTTAGCATCACGGTCTTCAACACTAGCTCCATTACATAAAAGTAACTCTAGCAGGTCTTTGTGACCTTCTTTTGCGGAAAAGTGAATGGCTTTGCCTCCAGCCTTTGTTGCAGCATGAATATTGGCTTTATGTTTTAAAAGCAGCTGAACAACTTTTAGCATTCCCTCTTTTGCAGCGTGATGCAACGATGTCCAACCTTTATCGTCTGTCTCATCAATATTCATGCCTTCATTTATGAAAAACATTACAATTGTTTCGTGACCGTTACCGGCTGCAACATGTAGAGGTTTCCTACCATCGTCGAAACTTCCAGAGTAAATGTTAGCGCCATTGTCCATAAGGTATTCAATGATATCCAATTTACCTCCATTAGCTGCATAGTGCATTATTGTCCATCCGTCTTTATCAATTTCATTGACTAAGCCACCAGCATTAAAAAAGTGTTCTAAAATATTTCTCTGTCCATTTCCAGCAGCGATATGATAATATTTTGCTCCACCAGTAAAGCTGGCAGCATTAATATCCGCACCATTTTCAATTAGATGTTTAAGTGCTTCTAAGTGTCCACCTTTTGCTGCATAATGTAATGGCGTCCATCCGTTTTTGTTTGTTTCATTAACATTTATTTTATTTTTTAGGAGATATTCAAGTACATCGCAGCGGCCACATTCGGCAGCGGTGTGTATTATTTTCTTACAAATGTCGTCAGAAACTACAGCATTACAATCCATTCCATTTTTTATCAAATTCTCAAAGTCCTCAAGTTTTCCTTGTTTGATCACATAATTAATATCTTCTGAAACTGCTACACTCATTTTTCGTTTATTCTCCATACTTATATCTGGCAATGTAACTGTAATAACTAGTTTTACTTTTGGTTTGTAAGTTTATTTTAAAAGTGCATACCAAGTTGCCATTTTGAAATTACAAATCAGTCTCCATGAAAATGTTTTTCTTTATGCTAATTTTAGGCGAAAATATGTAAAAATGCAAGTAGTTTCCTGTAATTCTGGACAGAAGTGTCTGTTTTCTTTTATTATTCATTCACTACATTCCTTTCTCTGAAAATAGAATAAGAACTAAATTAGAAATACATTAATCAATCCATTTTTAACATTATTTTTGCAACATTACAGTAAATGATTTTTAATGCAGGGTGTTCACAAAATGATGTGATAGCTCTCTTAATTTTTTTTCTTAGGCTATAATTTAGAAGGAAACAGTTGAGTTAGTTTTTTTATCTCGAAAACGATACGAGGTATGTTGAAAATGAATCGCAAAGTTATAGAATTTAATCAATTTTAAACAAATAGACACTTTGTGAAGATTAATTTTATAAAAGAATATTTAAAATACTATTTTTTATGAATGGAATTTTCTACATCGTGACGTAATGAAACGATAACTTTTGTATTTGTTTTACAAAACGTAAGTTCTGCAAGTTTATTTTATAATTTTACAACTTTGTCATTCTATTTTTTGCCATTTTCAAAAATTAAACGTTAAATCCACAGTTTTCCAATAGGTGGCACAGAAAGTGCTTTCATTTTGTTGCTCATAGCTACATAGATACGCCTAAATACCACTTTTATAGTTGCGCTAAGAGAATGATTATAGACATTAAGTTTTTAAAATTATTTTTACATTGAGGTTAGTGTATTTATTTCGAAAATTAATATACCTATATTCTCTTTTTATTAATATCCTTAAAAAAAGTATAAAAAATCCAGCAGCGTTTTACGAATTTTCTAAAATTAATTAAAAGTAAAATAAACTAATTAAATGTGTTCTAAATATCATGGAGTTACCTGAGACAAATTTTAAAACATGTTTTTTTAAAGTCGGAAGTAGTCAAAGGCCCTTAGTAAGTAAGTAAAAAGTCGGAAGTAGTAAAAGGCCCCCAGATGTTTAAAATTCAATGTCGGAGAAAACAAAGTCTACTCTTAGCTACCGAGAAATAAGGCTGTTGATATCATCAAGGTCTTTTTGTGACGTCACAAATAGTAGGTTTTTTTTAATTAGTAGCCGCCTATTTTAAATAATTGTCATTCATCAATGAACAACAGCTTCATTCAACCGTTCGTTAGGCAATTCTTTATATCTATTATCCAATAATTTTTTAGCATGCCATATACATGTATTGTACCGAAATGTAAAAGTAATTATAAAAATGAGCCTAAAGTTTTAGTTTACAAATTCCGAAAAAATGAGTTAATATGTGGCGTAACTACCACTACAAATATTAAATACCAAATCAATAGTATATAAGACTTGTTAACTTGAATCCATCACGAGGTACCTTTTGATAGATGAAGGTTGACATAGTCGATAATTAAATCCCCACATTGGTGACCCGGACGTGATAAGAAATTGTCAATATTGATGGATGAATCCACATTAAACAGTTGATTTGCTTAAAAAAAAAAATATACTGCTCAAAAAAAAAAAAAAAAAAAAAAAAAAAAAAAAAAAAAAAAAAAAAAAAAAANAAAAAAAAAAAAAAAAAGAATAGGAAGAAATCCGGTGAAGTAAATAAAGTCTCCCGGTTAATAAATAATTATGAGAGAAATGCTAGAAAAAAAAATAATAATAGCGAAAGGCTATAAAAAATTGATGGGAAAAAATAGCGAAAAGCTATAAAAAAAAAATAACAAGCGAAATGCTTGGAAGAAAAAAAAATAAAAAAAATATATAATGAGCAAAAATTAAACAGCATTAATCAACTAGTGGTAATTGTTCATCGAATTCTATCACAGATACAATTCTGGAAGGGGAGTAATGTGGCGTAACTACCACTACAAATATTAAATACCAAATCAATAGTATATAAGACTTGTTAACTTGAATCCATCACGAGGTACCTTTTGATAGATGAAGGTTGACATAGTCGATAATTAAATCCCCACAAATACATTTATCAAGTAGTAGCTAAGAGCAGAGTAAGTGTTGTTTGTCTTTTATTTTTTGATATTCGTTTTTGCTGTTTTTATAATATGCTTCTTAATTACGTAATAAAAGAAGTAGTATTTAAGAATTAAAATGTTTTGGGTACTGAATGTTGTTTGTTAGTGGATATTATAATTTAAAATTAGCAAAACATTCATACTTTTGTATAACTCTAGGTCTTGAAATAAAATAAAAATTAAACATAGTTTGTTTTGTGCAAATATTTATTAATTCAGACCATATATGAAACTATTTTCGATGTTATTAAGGATCTCATACTTTTATTAATCAAAACACTAGTAAAATAAACAGTTTAGTTTTATTTCTAAAAAGAAAAGAAAAAAATCAATAAGAATGTTGATTGGCACTTGACGCTTATTTATTCTTAATGATATATATATATATATATATAGNTTTATATATATGATTTATATCTGATTTAAGCTTCCCAATTATTTTACTTGAGTGCAGAAAAATTCCTATGCATTCAATCATAATAATAATGATAATAATAATAGAAAATATAAATTTAAGTCATTGTTAAGCATTTAAATTATTTTAGGGAATACATTTAAATTAGTTTAAGGAAACTTGTTTTTTCATATAACATGATTGTGTTTTAAGCAGATAAATTGCTTTAGTGTATCTTATAATGCAGTCGTAAATAATTTTCTATGAATTAAACTTAATTATTAGATTTCGCAATACAATTTTAAGGCATCACATTAACCAAACATTGGCAAAGGTTGTGAAATATATTTTTACTTACATTGAATTTTCACGCAATTCCGAATACACTGACAAAAATACATTTCTCTATGTGCATTATTTATAAAGTTTTGAGAGTTTTTTGGAAAAAAGGAAGTGGTTTTTCCAGTAAAATCTAAACTTTTTCTCGTGCATGCTTTTTTTTGATGCTTATATGTTATTTGAATATCTAGGAAATTTCCTTTCTGTTGACGATAGAACTTTAAAGTATTTTTTTCACAATTAGCCAAAAATAAAATCGTTCGTTGAATAATTGAAAATTATTAAAATTTTCAATGCATGTTATTCACAAAATCTGAGCAAAATCGGTCAAATATCTCGTAGAAATCAAATTTTAAAAGAAATGACAATTTTAAAATTCAATTGCTCATGAACTATTCGACAGATTTTGCTCAAATTTAGTACATTGCATTATTACATTCAAATTTTCTACGTTACATTCTTACAATCTTAAGATTATTATAATTTTACAATAACTATTAAAATTACATTCTTCAAAATAATGTAAAAAAATTGCATGCCATATAACTCAAAATTTTTTCGCCTATTATTAAATATAAAAAATTAAAAACAATATGTAATACATACTAAAATTTATGTTTTGCCTGGAATTATCTTTTCATCATTGAATTTCCTAATTGTGTGCATAAACTTTTTAATTGGCTTAAAATGTTTTCAAGATATGGTAAAATTTGCAAAAATTAAAATTAAGGGGACTATTCTTCTGACCAAACTACTGGAACCATATTTCGCAGATTGCAGCTATTCCCTATGTTTTGGGGGTCAGAAATTAGAATCAGTCATAAAAGGTATGTTTATTCAGAGAAAGTTCGTTTTTGTGTCTGATTTCGCTCCTTGAAATATCGTCTGCACTAAATATTTAGAATATTTAAGGTTACGCTCTCAAACCATTAAAACTGAGTCCTATAACGTGCAGATCCGATCATTAGATCAAAAGTACTTAAGGTTGGTCCATTTTTTGCTTGACGCACTTTATAGTTTTTTTTACTTTCTAAAACTTTCCTAAAATTTGCCTTATGATTCTGAATTTTTTACAGGATTTTAGCATGCGCACTATATTATTTAAATGCAAATACTGCGGAATGAGTCGATGCATTTTTATAACTTAATTATCATTAAATTTGAAATTGGGCGAAAAAAATACTATGACCTCTTACGCGTATGATAAAAGTAATAAAAATTATTATTTTAAATTATTTATTATTTCAAAAGTACAAATATTATAATTAATGATGTGAAAACATTATTAAAAGGCAGTCAAATATGTTCTTCTTACAACCGTTCTAGCTTAAATAAATTGAAAAATAAAAACCATTTTTTAAATTAAAGGAAACTTGATTTTTTGGATTTTTATTAAAAAAAAATATTTTGTACAAGAGCTAGTATGAGTTAAAGGAACATGCTATAATTAAATCAATTACCAAGTTTTAACTCCATAGGTTTATTAGAAGTCGAATCGGTTACATGTAGTTATCATCCTCGCATCGTGTTTGACACCCCCCTTCCAATCGCGGAAAGGGAGTGGCTGGGTAGGGCATAGGGGTTAGTGTATGTTTGTAGCACAACCGGCTGAGCAACTGCGCATGCGCTTGAAATGCTTGGCTAGAATTTAATTTTCACCAAATAATTTCGAAAAGTAACCCTGTTGAAGAAATTGCGCGGAGGTATACATAGTTTGTTGCTTACAGGTGTAATCAAGTGTAGCTTTTATTGCTATTGTAATTTTAGCTCTTTATTTTTGATTCAGTAAATAAAGTAAGTTAATTGTTTAAAATAATTTTTTCCTGTTTATAATATTGCATTAATGTATTTTTAAACGTTTACGACATTTTATAATTCTAATTATCTGTGATAAAGTAGTTAAAGATTTCCACGTTACTGAGTTAGGCTTAGAAACATTTGTTTTCCTATTTTATCTTTGATATAATAAGAAATGTCTGTCAATAAAAGAGTATTATTTTAAAGATTCGATAGTTTATTCTGTTGCATATATAAACAATAATCAATAAAAAATTTCTGAACTGTTCTTCTAATTCTTTTATGTGTGTAGAAACTATAGTAAAAGAAAATTATATGGTATTTAAAGGTGTCAATTAAAAGGTTATTAATTGTAAATGGTGGTACATTGACGTTATAATTACTTTTCTTTAAGATTATATATCCGTATGTAGATACTTAAATTATGATGCTTATTAAGATGAATTTATTGAAATTTTTAGACGTATTGTGTTTATAATCCCTATTGTTTTTTTATGATTAAAAAAATTGACTACTATGATTGAGCTTACGTAGGAATGTGGTAACTGTGTGGTATCACATCGAATTAAATTTAATTAAGTTAATATAATAGAGCACCGTATTAAATCTTTCAAATGTTGTTTGATTCATTCATTGTTTTATAATTGGTGTAGTTTTTACTAATTGATTTATTTAGCAGCATATTTTCAACTGAATTTACTTGTGCAAAATTCCAAATTATGTATATTTCCCATCAATAATTGATGAAATACCAGAATGTATGTAACAGAGATGAGATTTTTCCGCTTTTTAGCTGATTTCCGCATTTTTCACTTTTATCTCTTGAATTTCAGCTTTTTTATCAAAAATTCAGATTTTCTAAAAATTTCACTTTTTTTTATAAGTATTCCGCTTTTTCAGAAAATTACCGATTTTCAAAGAGAAACAGAAAATTCAAACTAGATAGCTACCAATCTTTCTCATTTTTACTTATTTTAGCTATTTTTTCCCCTTTTACACGCAGCAGATAAGATTTTCCGAACTTTTTACCCGCCCTCCAGATACATCCGATTTTCGTAGTTCAAGTGACGCTGCTTTTGACAAGCCTTTTAGAGATCCCAAGCCTAGAATCTGCTAATATCTTGTTTCTTATTCACACGATTTTAATATCAAACATAGCTTTTCATATTTGCGTGTTGCGATTCTTATTCACGCGATTTGAATATTGTACGTTGCGATTCTTATTTACGAGATTTAAAAATCCGATATTGTGATTCGTATTTACGCCTTTTTAAAAACCTATGTAGCGATTCGTATTCACGCAAGTTTAAAATTCAATGTCTTGATTTGCTCATGCGGTTTATAATATCAAACATTGATTTTCGTATTTATACGTGATTTTAAAATAAGGCATTGGGATTCGCATTCACGCATTCTAAAAATTATGCATCATAATTCTTATTTATGCAATCTAAAAATTACGCATCATGATTCGTATTTACGCGATCTAAAAATTATGAATCGTGATTTGTATTTACGCGTTTTAAAAATTCTATATCCCAGTTTGTATTTTCTCATTTTCAAAATCGTATATCTAGTTTCATATTCATGTGATTTCAAAATCCATAATTGTTATTCATATTCACGCAATTTTAAGATCAACTATCGTGATTCTTGTAAGAAGTAATTTTTTTTTAAAATTAGTTACTATAAAGGTGACTGTTTTTCTAACGACGATTATTAGTATATGTAAGTGTTACAACATCAGAGAAACTGGAAGGGAATATATTCAAAACTTACATTCTGTGCTTGCAAAGAAGAAAAAATAGGATTTGTCACAAGATGTTTGAAGATGGACTAACGACTAAATATAGCAAACATAAAAGATATAGGAAACAAAAGCAATAACTTAAAAAGGGATTCAATTTAAATTTTTTTTTTTCTTTGGAAAAAGAGTTAATTAACTCATCATCAAAATTTTATTTATAATTGCTGTTATTTATGCTATAAAATGCAAAATTCTTATCAAATAAAAAACAATTATCAAAGCAGTTGCTGATTGTCATGTAATTTTTCTAACTAAAATGGCAATTTTTGTATGTTAAGGAGTTACTATATATTTCTACTTCACTGTTATTGACATGTTTCAAAGGGCTCTAGTTAGATTAGACTATAACATGAACATAATGATTCGGTCCATTGTTAAAGTTTTTTTTTCCCTGTATAATTTAAAAAGTAATATTACTGATATATTTGCTATAAATCACATAACAGTATTTATTAAAAGAAATGAAATATTAATGTATATTCTCATTGGTTTAATTTGCTAAACCAGGTAGTTTTTCAAGTAATAATTGTCTCTTATGTGAACTGAGGAAAAATATAATTTCCAGCTTTATTTTTTCAATTGGTAATTTTTATTTTCACTAAATGTTAAGTATCAATGTAATCATTTATATAATAATAGTATACAATTCTATGTCAACACATTATTTATTACCTTAAACTGTCCGGAATTTATTGTTAAAGGGTTGCGCTTGCGTAAAATTTACTATCGTGGAAATTCAGCTTTTTTGCCTTTTGGCTAATCTCATCCCTGATGTAAGTACTGTAAAATTTCTTAAGCAGAGGTTGTGCAAGCATTACCTTAAACTTTATGCAGTTAAAGGATAATCTATGATGCATGATGGCTCAGTGGGGCTTTAGTGAGGGAACTTGTTTATTATTTTAATATCAAGTCTTTCTTTCTATTGCCCCTTCTAAGTCGCATCTTTTGATTTCCATAAACAACTTTCTTGATGTGGAGTTTTTTGGGAATCTGATAATATAGGTGTATTAGTAAGTATAATGGTGAGTATTTTACCTTATATGTATATGGTTTTTGTATACATCCTCATAAAAAGAGATATATATTGTATTAAGTTGTATGTGGATTAACATATACTGCATTATATATAAGTTTATTTAGCAGTTAATAGAAATAGTTCATTTAACCTGTGGATTTTGGATGCCTAGATGTTTAACAATTTTGTATGGTGCTTTGCAAGAGGGTGCATTTTTATTTACAAGTGTAGCATGCCTAATTTTTTATTATTTACAGCTTGTACAAGGTTTTTACATGAATTCCCAAATGATAAGTATACTCAGTTTTTACTAGTACACAGGCTTATATACAGTTTTAGTTGGGTAATTTTGTTAATTGATGTTTGTTTTATGATTTTAATATTTTGTAGTGTGTTAAATGGTTTTTAAGATAAAATATGCTTCTCTTGGCGTTACTTATTTGATAAATATTTATTACTTCAATAAGTATAAGGCATAATAACAGAAAAGACTAAAGTACAATATGGCAAGATATCTTATATTTTAAGAAAGGATATACCTATTTTTGAAATTTTCTAATCATTCTGAAGTAACATCAAAAGTAACCATTTAAAAAAAATTTTTTATTTTTAATTACATTATTTTATAATTGTTAGTTATTAAAAATTGGTAATCCATTGTATATTTTAGATAAACTTGTAAGAAAAATTAATCATTTTATTGTACTCAGAATGCAAAGGGTTATTAAGTGGCTGAATTTCCATGAAACATTATTTATTGGCAATAGTTTTTAAATTGTACTTAACTGTTCAAAACCACATAATTAACAACTAAATGTATAATTTCAGTAAAGTGTCATTATATGCTTGTTGTAACGAACTCTCCTCTTTCCCCCACTACAGCGCCTCTGGCGGTGAACTAAGACAGTCTGCCAGGAACCGCCGTTAAGTACGGATGTTTAATTCGAGCCCAAAACCCCCTCTTCCAAATTCTTGTATTTTTTTTATCCTTGTTTTATTTTTATGTGTTTTGTCCTTTTCAATAAATATTTAGAGTTATATTATTTCTGGCCTTTCATTATTTATGTGAATTGGTAGAAATACAAATAAACCAAGACTTCCCCTACAAAATGACGCCCAACTCGTGGCCGAACTAACGGTTCTTTGCTGGCTAAATTTTTTTTTCAGAAAGTGAATGAACGTCCTGTTCAAATTGTGGAATTTAATGAGGTCATCCCGTACCTCGATTTCCTGAATTTTGATTCAGTATCTCCGTAATAACGATTGCTAGAGTAAAATATTAATATTTACTATCCATTGATTTGAAACTTAATGAAAAGTATTATGTTGTTTAGTAATTCTGTGTGTGAAGTTTAAATATATTATAAGTAGTTTGAATCATTCATTCTAAAAATAAATTTTATAAACTAAGAATCTGGTAGATAGAGAAATATATTATGAGAGTTAGCTATCCTTTTATGTTTCAAAATGAATATGTATTGT